TCCAGAATTATGTTCTAGAACATCTATGTATTTAAGTCCCATTGTCTCTGACCTGTGCACACTGGCCATCAATGCTTTGGAAGAAGGACATTCTGGACAATTTTCTTGTCTTTTTTTTTTTAATTTTTTTTTTAAATAGAGGCATGTTTTATTTATTTGTTTATTTATTTCTTTGTTTGTTTATACATGCACTGGGTACAGTCAGAAGCGCAGGAGGGTGAGAGAATTCACCAGAGCCAGAGCGGAGAGCTGAGCAGGCAGAAGGACCGAAGGACACTGCTGAGGGGAGCAGCGGGCGGCAGGAGAGGTCTGCGCGCCATGTGGGACCCTCCTCAGGTGGCTGGGGAGCAGCCGGGGATTGAATTGGCACTGCAGAGGCCGCAGGCAGCTTCGCAACCCAGCGCTCACCCCCTGCGCCACTGGGGAGGCCCATACTGGACAATTTTCAAGAACGCCAAGGGGTCCTTAGTAACAGCAGCTGATAGGGCCTATGTCCACAAAGCCTGCGGGCGCTTAGCAGTCCTCAGTCTTGAATTCCCCCAAGTTCTAATATCCTTTCAGAGCACACTGATGGGTGGAAATCAGACAAGGGCTATCTGAGACTGCCTTGGGCCTGGTGAATCACTCGTGACCACAACATCAAGGACCAGCAGGAACAGTAGCTAATGAGATTATTGGTGGGAACAAGACCTGTGACCCAGTCTTTCTAGGTCGTCTGAGGCTGCTCACCTGGAATATGGAAGTTCACAGGGGTGCCTGGATAAGTCGGTCAGTCTTCAGTGTGCCGGGCTAAGGAATCTGGACTTGACATTTAGATTTCCTCAGGAACCAAAGAGTATCCGGGAAGACCAGCTGGGAATCAGTCTGTCTCTGAAGTGCTGGAACTATATGCATTAGAGAAGAAGCAAGTGGCAGGGAAGGGATGAGAAAAGAGGATCGCTGGAGGTGATGGGAGGCAGCATGGGCGCTAGAGGGAAGGAGCTGACCTGGAGTCCATGCCAAGGGTAAATGGATCAGGGGGGGACAGATGAAAGGCACATCTAAGACATGGAAGGTTCTGGAGATAAGTAAGCATTACATGAGATGTCTGGAGTATGGTTCCTCTCTGGCTGACGGGCCTTTATCTGTGTTCTGAGAACAGCTTGTATGAGGGGGATGGCACATGAGAAGGAATGAGGGAGGAATTCTTCCGGGAACTTTCAAAAGTCTGGCTGATTCCCTTCTAGAGCTGATCACAGCTATCAAGCTGTTGGCGTTTGCTAGAAGAATTTTAACACCAACCATACATGGAGTGCCACACCCCCCGGGTGGACCTGGGATCACATCCTCCCTTTATGGTGCTTTCCTGTTGTGATTTTCCCAAACCTGTGGTCTTCAAGTATTCGTCGCCTGCCATGTCACCCTTTCCGTCAGTCCCCTAACCCAGGCCCCTGCACACACTTTCCCCTCAGGCATCAGTCATGAAGGCTCTTCTGTGTGGGCAGCCTCTTGTCTCCTCTCAGCTCTCAGGTGCCCTACCTCCAGGCCTCACTCGGCACCAGAGCATTTCTTTTTTCTTTCAGTAGTCCCCCTAGCTCTCCTACTGCCACATCACCCGTGGACCATCACTGTGTTTTCCTCTCCTGTCTCGCCCCCCTCACTCTCCTTCCTTTGCTGTGCACCTCAGCTCTGTGGTCAGTTTGCTAGTTTTGTCTTTTTCTTGATTGTTTTTTTTTTTGCTTTCTCTATATTCCACATATCAGTGAGACCGTCTGGTATTTATCTTCTTCCTTCTGACTCCATGGGCTAGTGTACCCTTCCAGCTCCATCCTTGTTACCGCAGATGGCGCGAGTTTGTCTTTCTTGATGCCTGAGTAACATTTCATCGCGTGCCACTGCACCGGAGCATTTATGAAGAACATCCCTGGGAAGAGCCCAGCAGGAGTGGACCTGCCTCAGCTGTGTCAGTCTTTGGTGTCAGCTGTCCTGAGCCTCCCTGCTCTGTCCTCAGTCCTCTCCGGGGTCTTCCCTCTCACCAGCTGGCCTGTGACCTCCAAGTGTGTCCCCCACTCGTTTATAGTGACTTCTTGCTTTCGTTCATTGGAACTGAGGCCTTGGACATGGGTCTCCGGACCTGTTTTTCCGGACATTTCTGTACATTGGTATCCTCCTCTTTGCATGAGCAAGTGAAGGCAGCCCTCTTTATTCTATCGCTTGTTCTCACCCTTCCCAGCCTGCTCTGCGGGAGGCTGCGCCTCCCATGCTGTCTCTTGACATCGTCAGGGCATTAGGAGAGACTCTGAGAAGCAGAGTGCCTGTGTTCCCCTGAAGAGGGAAAGTTGTACTTCCCAGAAGAGGGGAGTTGTTGCACCTCCCAAAGAAGATCTGAACTAGGGAGTCTCCATGACAAAGCCTGCTAAAGGTCTCCTCTTTGTTCCTGGTTAATGCTGAAGTAAGTTAGTTATTCATTGGCCTGTGAAAACCTAATTGGGACCCAGGTGACAATTGGCTTATTGTTCTTATGCATGAACTGTCACAAAAGAAGTAAAAATTGTTAAAGATATAGTTAGGAAAGAAATTTTTTGGCCCTGAGAACTATGGAGAACAAGCTGCCCTGAACCAGCTGTGCTTGGAAACCATAGCCTAACCTGGGGGTACCTGTTTGGGGCAACAGTACATCTCCTGGTGTATGTGAAAAGTTAACAGTGCTCAGGTTGTGTGGACGTTCGGTATTTCTTGTTGAAGGTTAGTTTTTTTCTTTTTAAATATTTATTTATTTATACAAGCACTGGGTACAGTCAGAAGCGCGGGAGGGTGAGAGAATTCACCAGAGCCAGAGCAGGGAGCAGAGCAGGCAGAAGGACCGAAGGACACTGCTGAGGGGAGCAGCGGGCAGCAGGAGAGGTCTGCGCGCCATGTGGGACCCTCCTCCGGTGGCCTGGGAGCAGCCGGCTTTCGAACCGGCGCCGCAGAGGCAGCGGACAGCTTGGCAACCCAGTGCTCAACTGCTGCACCACCAGGGAGGCCCTCCATGTTTACTTTTGATGCCCCAGAAACTTTATAGTCATCCCTTGGTATCTGGGGGAATTGGATTTAGGAATGACACCCCCACACCCCCAGCAGATCGCAGAAGTGCACGGATGCTTAAGTTCCATATGGTTGGCCTGGAGAGTCCTCAGCACAGAGTCAACCTGCTGACATCTGTTCACCGGACCAAGTCCAGCACCGCGAGCAAAAAACACGACCAGCGCGCTGATGCCCTGTTGCTGGGCTCTGCCCCTGGTGGTTCCCGCCCTCTGTGTTTACTCAGTTCCAGCAGGGAATCAGCTCCTCGGTGGCTTTGTTCTGGTCACCGGGTGGCGCCAGAGACCTGCACTTGCTGACCTTGCTTTTCCCCAGTGGTTCTCTGAGAAAAGGGTGGGGGGCGCCTCCACACAGGGGCTGTCCTTCAAGCCGGGTGCTGTGTCTGCAGCGCGTCCACCCGGCGTTGTGCCCGCAGCTGTGTGGATCCGGCCCCGAATGCTGCGCTCTAGGCTCAGTTCCAGGCTGTCAGGTCCAAAACGCTGGCTGTCGCCCTGTGCAGTGCCCGCTGCTAGGGCGCGTCCCGGCTCCTGGTCCTGCGTCTGGCTCTCCGCTCCAGGATGGGGTCCTGCTCCACGCCTGGTTTCCCTTCTTACCCCGTAGGCGCGGCCCAGCCCCTCTCAGAATGTGGTGATTTTGTTCTGGGCACTAGGTGGCGCCAGAGATCTTCCCTAGTGTCCTTCCAGAACTGCCTTTTTTTCCCTGTAGGTCTCGGGGAATAGAGTGGGGGTGATGGGGTTTTTGGAGCCTGAGATCCTGGGGTTCACTCTGGGAAATGTTTCCCCAGACCGTGTTTCAGCAGCCCCCGGGAGTTCCCCAGGTCGCTCCTCCACGAGACGGAGTCGTTACTTGTGTTTACCGGGCAGGTTTCTCAGGGGAAGGGAAGGGGCAGGTTTGCTGAGCGAGGCCTGCGCGGGTGCAGGTGGCAGCCCTGAGGAGAGCGGCCTCCGCTGAGGGAGGTCCCTGGAGACGTCCTGGCAGGTACCGGCCACCCGCCAGGAGGCTGCGCCCCACAGAGGTGAGAGCTGGTGAGAAGAGGCTCCTGCGTGGTCCCGGGCGGGCAGGGGGGCGGCTGCCCCGGGCCTGTGCGGAGCCTGCCCTGCCACAGCCCCTTTCTCCTTGGGAGGCGCGCTCCTCCGGGAGCGGCTGCTTGCTGCGGATGTTGGGCAACAGGCAGCGCTAGAAAGGGACCAGAGATTCCGGGGTGGGCCCGTCTCCACATCCTTCCCCTCAGGCCTGTGCCCCACTCCCTAGAGCAGGGACCCTGCTCCCTTCCTGCCTCCTGACAAGGCGCTGGCGCCTGAGGGTCCGACCTGCACAGCTGGGTAAGGGTCCTGTGCATGTGCTCGACCCCCACCTCCTAGTGTGAGTCAGGATTTGGCCTTGGGGCTAGTCCTTTCCAGTCTTTCCATTCTTGTCCTCCATCATCCCCCCCCCCAACCTTATCCAGCCCGAAATCTCTTGGGGAGTTGAAGGGAGGAGGTCCATTTTCAGGAGCTGCTCCCTGCTGGAGTGGCATGTAGAGCTGGCCCTGCCTCCAAGGGCCCGGGAGATGGTCTCCCTGACAATCGTCCCTGAGCTGCCTGTTGGTGGTTCTGGAAGGAGGTGAGGGGGGGCATCTGGACAGGCTGTTCCCCTTGGAGGGGTGAGCTGTTTGTTGGGAGGAGGAGTTTAACCTTGAGGCGCTCCCCCTCGCTTAGAAGAAACAAATTTGAGTAGGAGATTGTGTATGTTAAGATTTGAAGAGGAGAATGAGAAGTACAGCAGCGGCTAAGGGCCCTCGGTCACAGGTGAAGTTGTAACAGGGGGTCCCCAGGAAAGGGGAGGTTCCAGGTTCCCTGCCCCACCCAAGGGAGGGTGGAGCTGAGCAGGGAGAGGAGAAGCTGCAGAGGAGACTGAGAAGGAAGGAAGCAGGATGGCAGAACCTGTTTAGAGCAGGCAGGGTTGCAGGGTCTGGGCTGCCCCCTCCCTGCCCTGGAGCAAAGTCATTGGGGCCAGCAGCTGAGTGTAGGCTTAGTCACAAGCTGAGCAGTAGTAGAATAGCAAGTGTTGGGGTTGGGACATGAGAGCACATTGCACCAGGGACGCAGCCCATTTTTCGAGTGCCCTTAGACTGAAAGAATGTCGGTGGGATATTTGTTCCTCGCAGAGGAGCTGTTCTAAATCCCCTGTGTCCCTAGTTAGAGCAACACCCACCCTGGGAGCCCTGAAATGCTGGAGTAAGGCACAAAGCCAGGCACTCAGCAGGAGGGTTGGCTTGCTGTGTGTGCAGAGTCCCAAGGCCAGGGAAAAATACTAGTTTCTTAGTTTAGTTAGGGACAGTGTTGTGCGACTTATCACTGGGAGGCTTGTCAGACTCTCAGGAAAGTTGGGTGAGCTTTAAAGTAAAGTTAGAGTGAGGACCGCAGTCCTTCTTTTTATTTATTTATTTTTTAAGGAATATTTCTTATAATACAAGAATCGTGGTACAGGCCAGATGCTTGAGAGGGTGAGAGGATTCACCAGAGACAGAGTGGGGAACAGAACAGGCAGACTGACTGAAATACACAGCTGGGAGGAGCATCAGGGAGGCAGGAGAGGTCTGCTGTGAACATGGGTATCTCTCTGTCCGGGGATCCAACCTGTGCTGCAGTGGCCGAGGAGAGTCCCATGGCCTGCATCCCAACCCCTTGCCCCACCAGGGAGGCGCCATAAAATGATTTTTAAAAATATTTATTTATTTATGCATACAAAAGCTGGGGTACAGGCCAGAGATGCAGGGTGTGAGAGGATCCACCAGAGAGTGGGAAACAGAACAGCAGACTGACTGAAATACGCTGCTGAGGGGAGCAGCGGGAGAGACAGGAGAGGTCTGCTGTGCCATGTGAGTCAGTTCCCCGGCCAGGGATCAAACTTATCCTTCAATGGTTGTCATAGCTTCATAGTGCTGTACTGAACCCCTTGTGCCACCATGGGGCTCCTCACAACTCTCTTTTCACCTTGTGTCCTACGTAGAGTTCTGCTGGTGGCCATGTAGTAACTGTATATTTTGATTTCAGGAACCCTTGACCTGCAGAGATGTGCCCATCGAATTCTCACACAAGGAGCAGGAGGTCCTGGACCAGCTGCAGTGGAAATTGTACAGGGACGTGATGCTAGAGGCCTACAGAAATGTGGTGTCCTTGGGTGAGGAGAATATCCCTCTAGATTTCCTCATCTGCCCTCAGTGTTTCCTGTACCGCGTGTGGATGTGCTCCAGGGATGCCCAGAATTGTCGGATACATTTAGGTCCCTATTTTAAAGAACAACAGTGTGGGTTTGTTGGAAACAAAGTCTCATGATGTTTCATCATGGCTTAAATTTCTCCTGTCTTAGGATGATCTGCAGCCTGCACTCTGTATGAGTGCTCATTCAAGAAAATATGTGACTTAAGCGTTATTGCTACAAGCAAAATCCCAGCTTCTCTATCACATTGCTAGGACTCAGAGGTGTAAAAATGGTTCTTAGGATGTGAAAATTTCAATGATTTCTGGTAAAGGTGCTGTCAGAAAATGTATTTGCAGTGATCCTTTTCCAGAACCTTCTATACTGTCCCCTCTACTGAATACAATACTGTATTAGGAATTTGAGAATCTTCAGGCCATCTCATATCACCGGTCCTAATAAACAGGTCTTGCTGTGTCTACGCCCGAGCTGGTCATCTTGTTGGAGCAAAAAAATGGAGCCCTGGGATGTGAAGAGAAGTGTAGATTCCGTCCTCCTCCCAGGTAGGTGGAATGAATATGGCAGAGGACACAGCTGGTCCACAGGAACGCATCCATCCATCCTAAATGTCTGGGGAGCTCTGTTTCAGGGGTTGCAGACATGCTCCTGTTTTGTCTTGGAGGCTTAGTCTTGCTCTCCCTGGGGGTGTCTCCTCTCTGACACTTGAGGCCTCTGCCTTTCCTTCTTACTGAATTGAACTTAGGTTTTATCCATTTTGTTCATCTTTCATACTCCAGACTTCCTTTCATAGAGAAGCACCTGCTTTTTGGCCATAATGTTCTATTTATTTTTTCTTATTTTTTTTAATGTCTTCCTTTTGCCAATACGGAGCTAAAATTGTTCTTTTTCTAATTCCTAGAGGTGTGAAGTTATGTTGCTCAACTGAGATTCTCTCTTATTGCTAGTGTAATTGTTTAATGCTTTAAATTTACCTCTTAGTACTGTTTTCTCAATCACATGTTTTGGGGAGTTTTCTCTGTTGCAATGTTTTCTCAGTATTGCTTAGTTTTTTGGAATCAAGGAACCATGGGTGTACCTCACTCTTCGTGATTCAGGGAAAAGATTCTCATATCCTCAAATGTCTGTCACCACCATACCCAGCACCAGTGCATTGTGGGCTTCTACATAAATCTTTGAATCCCCTGCCACTTTTGTACCCACACCCACTGTCCTTCCCTCTTTGTACACTCATTCTGCAGTCCTATTTCTAGAGTTTATTTTGGTTTGTATTGTCAGATTCTTTGCCTTGTTTTTCCAAAGTCCAAATAGGAGTGAATTCATCCAGTTAGTCTTTCTCCTTCTGATTCTTTTCACTGAGCATAATCCTCCCCAGCATTCCATTGTTGTTGTTGCACATGGCCAGATGTATCCTTTCTCATAGCTCAGTAGTATTTCATCCTGTCTATATACCACACCTTTCATTTCGAATTCTTTTTCACCCCTGTTTGTCAACTCTGATTCCTGAATTTATAACATTATTTTCCTTCCCATTGCAATTGGGCCTTGAACCTCCCCTTGATTTTATTGCTTTCATCTTCTGCATTGAGTTCTGTCTTCGTTTGCGGCACACTTTCAGGACCACATCTTAGTGTATAGGTAATATTACAATGACTTCTCAATACAGGTAATTTTCTGTTATTTTCTGGGGTCATTCTTTTCATTCTGTGATGCTTTAGACTCAGATCATATCATTAGAGTGATCCACACGGCTCCATTTTCATGATTAGTCTTCTCAGAATGTAGTTCCATCCTTACATTCCACATGGTGCGCTGAAACCTATGTTGAGTGTCATATAGTTAAGATTGAATTGGTGTTATTTTTAATTCATTCAGACACATTTGTCATTGTGTTGTGGACTTTTATTTACTTCAAAGTATTACTGAAAGGGAGGTGTTAACTATTAAAGAATGATTCCTGGGCCTCCCGGTGGCACAGCGTTTGAGCGCTGGGTTGCGAAGCTGCCCGCGGCCTCTGTAGCGCCGGTTCGATGCCCGGCTGCTCCCTGGCCACCAGAGGAGGGTCCCACATGGCGCGCAGACCTCTCCTGCTGCCCGCTGCTCCCCTCAGCAGTGTGCTTCAGTCCTTCTGCCTGTTCTGCTCCCCGCTCTGGCTCTGGTGAATTCTCTCACCCTCCCGCGCTTCTGACTGTACCCAGTGCATGTATAAACAAAACAAACAAACAAACAAATAAATAAATAAAAACATGCCTCTATTTAAAAAAAAATAATGATTCCTCTATTCTCAGTCGTTTTTTATTTTTTAAATTTTTTAAAGATTTATTTATTATTTATTCAAGCACGGGGTACAGTCAGAAGCACCGGAGGGTGAGAGAATTCACCAGAACCAGAGTGGAGAACAGAACAGGCAGACTGACAAAGTACACTGCTGACGGGAGCAGTGGACGGCATCAGAGGTCTGCGCACCATGTGGGACCCTTGCCGGCAGCCAGAGATCTAACTGGTACTGCAGAGGGTGCAGGCAGCTTGCAGCCCAGCGCTCAACCGCTGCGCCACTGCAGATGCAGTATTCTCAGCCATTTTATACAGTATTTTTTTTGACCTTTTCTTATATGCTTTAATTCCTCTCTCCTTTCTTGTTGGTGATTTCCCTCCACTTTCACACATTTGGATGTTAATGGAGGTATATTGGTTTGTAATATTATTTACAAACATTGTAAAGCATTGTCATCCAACCTATGTACACATCACATCAGTCTCTGTTTTCATTTCTTTTCCATGTATTTTACGGTATCTTTTTTCTCCTGGGGATTCCATAGCATGTTGAAAAGTTATGACAGTCTTTCCTAAAGTGAAAACCATGTAAATTCAGCTGCATACCAAAACTCCACTCTTTAACATTTCGACCCCTACTGACATCACAAATTATATTTCATGATATTTGTATTCTCTAACATGAATCTATGATTTTTTTTTGGTGTCATATTTCCAAATTCTGAAGCAGAAACAATATTTTGACTATAGGGTTATATCTGTATTTGCTGTGTATTTACCTTTCCCTAAGGATGTTACCTATGCATAAGCCTGTGTGTTGCTGTCTCGGGCTGATGTTACCTATCCAAGCATCATGTCGGGGGTCTTTTATGGTATTCATTTTATGTCTGAAATATTTAAAGTGTTTTGTCTTGAGTGCTGTGTGTGGGCTAGTTATTCCTCGTTGTCTTCCTGCTCTGTCTTCTCAAGACCACCAGGTCTCCGTGCCACAGTCAGGTACAGAAGATTTGTTGCTAACTGTGGGACCGGGAAGAGATGTAATCGGCACCTTTGAGAATTTAGAATTATTGAAAGACCAGACATGTCAAGATACATGTGAAGGGCACAACAGTTGTTGCAATGAAGATTCCCAATAAGGGACAATTATCCATAACACACTTCCTCCTGTACAAAGTGATCCTGCGTGTAAACCATGTTGGGTCAAACTCCATTTTATGTCTGTTGCAGGTAGAGATAAATATGTTTCTGTTAGCAAAGATCCATGTGACATTTTTAATAAGACACAATCTCTGAGAAGAATGTGGGAACATATGGGAAGTCCCCTAGTCCATAATGCAAATGATTATTCAAAACATTGTCAATGTGGGATAGATTTAAACTTTCAGTCATGTCATTGTCAACATCAGAGAATTAGAAAGGAAGATGAAAAAAATCTACACAGGATCCTATTGAGGAGCCCTCAATACTTTTCTAGCATCATGTACTTCATGAGAAACTCTACAATTGTAAAGGATATGGCAAAGCTACTAAATGGTGCCCAAGACTTACTGAACATCAGAGAGGGAAACCTCAGAAGTATGAAGAGCATGGTAAAGCCTTGTATTGGCATCCACAGCTGACTAACCATCTAAGGATTCATGCTGGAGAAAAGCCTACAGGCATCCTGACTGTAGTAACACCTTCCTGTGCTGTGTCACCTTTCCTGATTGGAGAGTTCATACTGGGGAGAAACCTTACAGATGTGAGGAATGTGGAAAAGTCTTTAACCAACTGTCAGCCTTTAACGATCTTAGTCAGCATCACAGAATTCATACTGAGGAGAAACCTTACAATTGTGAAGATTGTGGCAAAGCCTTTAACAATAAGTCATGTCTTACTCGGCATCATAGAATTCATACTGGGGAGAAACCTTGGAGATGTGAAGAATATAGGCAAAGCCTTCTACCAACCATCACTTTTAAGTCAACATCACAGAATTCATACTGTCTCTAAAACTTTGCTGAGGTTCCACAAAATTTCCTTTAATTGATTAAATGACAGGCTACCAAATTTTACTTTAATTAAATGTTTGGGAAGCTGTGTCATAAATACTAGAAAACAGCAAAAACAACCATATTTAATCTCTATAAAAATTCTAGCCCTAAGTGATAATATTGACAATTAAATCATAACCTTTATTGTCATCTCAAAAACCTTAGTTCTTCAGACACTAAAAGACATTATGTACCCAACATTATTAACCTAGACAAGGGCCAAGATTATACCCAATGCTAGTGTATAAGTACATGTTTTGAAACAACCCATTAGATTATAACTCAGTTACTATTAACCAAACATTATTTCAGCTAATATGTTCCCAAAACACTAAAATAATATAAATCATTTGAGTATACAAAATTTGTTTTCCTAAAATTCCTTTTTCAGATGTTCAACACTTTACTTAGCTTTGTTACTTTTAATTCTTTTAGACCTTTTAATATTTGTTTGAACACTTATCACTTTATTTTTAAGACCATTAAAATATCTATTTTTAATATATATATATATATATTTTTTTTTCCTAACAGAACTAACCTTTTGTGTGACTTTGAGTACAATTCTTCCAGGGAGTTGACATAGAGCTAAACTAAAATGTGGAAAAACTGCTGCTTTGTTCGTAGGGTTCCAGAGACCTCTGAAAATGATGAGGAAGCTTGCCTCCATTGGCAGGACTAAATAACCCGGTTCCCTGAATAGAAAGCTCTGTCATAAAGCCTGAACTCTTTTGTCTTTTCGCTGCCATTAATGATGTACACTTCAAACAACCTGGACAGGACACCGATAAGATCCCAGTGCGTGCCTACGTTGGATACCCTTTGTTATACTTCTGGGGAATGCCTCAGCTGCACGCATTCAATTGCGTGGGACTTCTTACTCCATTCATTGTTCTGGCTGCATTGTTACTAATTGTATTATCCCCTCTCTTGCTCGTTTGTATCCTGTTGTAATCTTACTTAAAATACCCCCTATGTTATGTTACCTGTTGATTTACATGATATGCCTTGGTATAATAATACTGCCATGCAAGTTTTAAATGAAGTACATGCTCTTCTTCGTCCTAAACGTTTTATTGCCACCCTTATTCTAGAAATTGCTGCTCTAATTTCCCTGGTTACCTCCTTAGCTACTTCCCCTGTTGCTTTCATTCAGGAAGCTAAGACAGCTTCTTTTGTAAATGACCTTACCAAAAATGAGACCATGGCACTCTCTGTGCAGTGGGACATTGACTACAAGTTAGAAAGAAAGATAAATGCCCTGGAAGAAATTGTCATTGCCATTGGAGATGAAGTTCAGCTGCTTAAGCAGCAATTATCCACTCACTGCCACGTTCAGTTTCGTTTCATTTGTGTTACACCTTTGCGTTATAACTCCTCTCTACATTGGAATCTTACTAAACATCACCTATTTGGCATCTGGCATGACAATGACCTCTCTCATGACCTTACATCTCTTCAGTCTAAAATCTCTGCTGTCAGTAAATCTCACCTAGATACTTCAGTCTCTTCCTTTGCCCATTCTCTGGCTTCCACTCTCCAATTTAACTCCTACTCACTGGTATCATCTTGTTCTCTCCTTCCTTGTTCTTTCCCTACTTGTCCTGCTTCTCTGTTTGTTTGTTCCCTTCTGTGTCCGCTCACTTCACTTCACATGCATCCAGTGTGACATGTATGCTTACCAACTTCGTTCTAAAAACAAAGGGGGACCTGCTGCACCCCCCCCTGCAGTGACCTTCAGGGCTAATGGCTGTTGCCATGGTCCCTGAGGTCCGGCGTGGGCAAGGAACCATGCGCGCAGGGGAGAACAGCAAACTCCCTAAGATGCAGAGAAGCCGAATGCCTGCCAAGAGATAACGACCACCAGAAGCCGCCACAAAGATGGTTAAAAGAAATGCTGACCACCTGGAACCTTATCTCGCTTTCTCAAGGCCCACAAACTTTATTCTGCTACAACTGTCTTTCTAAAATCTTTCCTTTTTCTGGTCATTGATTGCTAATTAAAAAACATACGTAATTTAATAATTAGGCTAATGCAAATGAAACATTACTAAACACTGTGTTATAATAGAATTGTTGGTTTAATAATCTTTCTATTATGTGCTTAACCTTAGTACCTTTGATATTAACTGCATTATAATATAAATTTACCTATGACAATTAATTATGAGTAAACATAAGTAAGTAATAGTAGTAGTAATTAGTACAAAAATATAGAGTTAATAACCTGTCCAATTAGGAATAAGGCTAGGTCCAGGTGTAACTTCGGACATAAGTCACTGCCCTGTCAATTAAGCTAAGCCTATGAGCAAACTGATCTCTTTGATGTTCACTGTTCCTATGCCTTTAGAAAAACATATATATACTGACCACTAACTTAATAAAAGCGCACTCAGATTTATACTCTCTCTTGAAGTGTGTCTGTTTGTCATTTCTTTAGCCGAATCCCTGACCACCCTGCGCAGTCTCTCAACCCTGAGACGGCCTCATCGTCTACTGCTGTGCTGGTCCGAGGCAATACTGGGGAGAAACTTTACAAATGTGAAGAATGTGGCAAAGCCTTTCACCGCAAGTCAAGTATTACTCTACACTAGAGAATTCTCATCAGAGAGAAATGTTAAAATTGCGAAGTCAATTTTTTTCACTTTAGTGTCTTTTATTCAAGATTTATTTTATTATGCATGCAAGAACTGGGGTATCTTCCAGAGGTGGGGGTGTGTGAGAGGATTCATCAGAGATAGAGTGGGGAACAGAACAGGCGATTGACTGAAATACACTGCTGAGGGAGCAGCAGGCGAGACAGGAGGGGTCTGCTGCACCATGTGGGTAGCTCCCTGACCGGGAATCCAGCTTGTACTGCAGTGGCTGCGTATAGCTTCATAGGTTGTGTCTTAACCCCTTGTGCCACCAGTGAGGTCCCAACTTTGGTGTCTTTAACCAGAAGTTTAACCATAAGTGTCAAAATGATTAACCAGAAGTCAGATCATAGTAAACATCAGAGAGTGTAAAGCTGGAGTAACTGTAAATGGAAAGTGATGAGTGGTTTGTCCAAATATGAATTTTGAAACCACCAGATTTTCATACTGGAAACTTGAAAGAAGTGAAAATATGATTAAATAATTTATCATGCAATTTAGATTCATATTAAGATATTGCAAGACCGTAGGAAGTGAGAAACACTTTACATTCCTTAAGTCAGAAAATTGTTATGGCGCATAAGCCAACATGAAAACACTAAATATTAGCATAATTGAAAAGTCTGAGGGCCTTCCTGGTGGTGCAGAGAGTTAAGTCACAGCTCTATGAAGCTGTCAGCAGCCACTGCAGCATGATTTGGTCCCTGGCCAGGGAGCTAACCACATGGAACAGCAGACCTCTCCTGACTTACCTGCTGCTCCCCTCAGCAGTGTGTTTCATTCAATCTGCTTGTTCTGCTCTGCACTCTGTCTTTGGGGAATCCTCTCACCCCCTACACTTCTGGCCTACCCCTTGGTTCTTGCATGCATAAATAAATAAAATCAATCTTTAAAGAAATATATGAGTTCAAGACAATGATTTGGGGACCTGTATAGTTATTTTCTTTGTCCTTTTTCTATCAACCATACTTGAGATATTGTGAAGAGACCTGATGAATTTAATTCAGCCCTAAATCACTTCACTCTATGGCTTTCTCCTGGTATGTACATGGAGTCATGTATTTGACTTTCATGCTTCAAACATCTAAGAGACCCTTTCCAGATGATGAGTTTCTTTACATCTTAATTGCTTCAATACATTTATGATGGTGTCATGTGTCATGGATGAAGAAAATCTAAATGGATATACTGGTTGTGGCTGACTGAAAAGATTGATCTCAATCACCCAGAGGAGTCGTGGACTTCATTGTGGGTATAAAAGTTAGGCAGAGAAACGTGCTGAAGTTCAACTCATTTCATTATCTCCTTCAGGAAATACACTATTAGTTTATTAATATCCTCATGTGTCTTCATGGTAATAATGGAGCCATGAATATTATTCGACGTTGTTGCCAAAAGAAATCTTCACAGGCATGTGATGAAAGAGCAGGTGAGCTTTTCATAACAGCGTGCAATTCTTGTGCATTCACATTAGCTAAGCACAGCATCTTTCTGTTGAACACCGACTCTGTGATCCAGATATCAGGAGGTCAAGATGCTTCTTAAATACCTGAATCTTGATTTTGATGAAATGTGTCTTGGTATCTGAGTCTTATTTAGACTGTATGTGAACTTCTTATGTATTTTTTTTAATTAATTCATACAAGACCTGGGGTGCAGGCCAAAGGGGGTGTGTGTGTGAGAGAGAGAGAGAGATAGGGAGGATTCACCAAAGACAGAGTGGGGCGCAGAACAGGCAGACAGAGAGGAATACACTGCTGAGGGGAGCAGCAGGCAGGACGGGAGAGGTCAGCCCTGCCCTGTGGGTCGCTCCCTGCTGTGGAGGGGCGGACAGCTTCTGAGTCAGCGCCGTGCTTAACCCCTTCAGCCCCCGGGCGGCCCTGTTGAGCTCTCTTCCCTCAGAGCCCTGAACCCGTCTGGGACCCGCAATTTTCGCGGACCTCGCCCACCTGCCCATTCTCCTCAACCTCCACTCCTCCCACTTCCAGGCCGCATCTCCACCGCAACGACGGCCCGACGGGCTGCGCAGGGCATTGTGGGAAATGTAGTCTCGCGCCGCCGTGGTTCCCGCGGAGGTTTCTGGGCGGGGCTTCCGCGATCTGCGCGTCCGGAAGTTTCTGCGCGTCCGGAAGTTTCGGCGTCTCCGGAGCGCTGCGGCGCCCTGAGGTGAGCGCGGGGTTTGTCCCGGGAGGCCGAGCTCGGGGGAGCGGAGACGCCGGGCGGGTTGGGGAGCGGGGAGCGCGGGCGAGCGGGGCCCCTGCCCCGTGGAGTCGGACGCTTTGGAGCCGATTCCCGCCGGGGCGCGCGGGGCGGGGGCGGAGGCCGTTGGGGAGAACGTCTCGGCCTTTCCGGGTTTCCCCGGCGCGGCCGCCCGGCCCTGTCCCCGGACGCTGCCGGGGTCTTCCGGGGCGGGACGGGGTCCCCGAGGCGGGGGCTTGGGGAAGCGCGGGTCCGCCTGTGCGCATGCGCGCTGACTCCTCTGGCCCCCCGAAAGTCGGGCGG